AATAAAAGGCTCTTGGGGAGAATCAGGTGCAAGTGTGAAGAGCTGGAGAAATCAGCACTGAACCACCTGCTCATAACAGATAAATAACCTCTGTCTTCATAGCCAATGCCTCAAGCTTGACTGACAGAGGATGACTCTTCTAGATTACCCATTTTAATCTTCCCGCAAGTATCCAATATGACCTCTCATAAGTCTCACCTGATGCCTTAACCATTATGTCTGAAGACCAGCTATGTCAACCACTGTTTCATTGAGGAAAAGCACCTGCACCTCCCGGTAGCTCGGGCAATATTACAGAGCCACGCAGGACCATTTCATACTCTCCTGACCTTTAGACTGGATTACAAATTGGAGTTGAACGGTGGTTGGGGATTCAAGCTGGCCGTAATAAAATAGCTGTAAAGTGTGATAAATGTCAGCTTTGGCTTCTTTAAAATTTGAACAGGGCAAAATTAGCAGGGTAACAACTAGGGGTGATCATTTAAAGAGCTCAATTAGAACAACTACAAATAAAATATAGAAATTATACATACTGCTATAAATAAATTAATAAATAAAATAGAATAAATGAACTTACAAAGAATACTATTATTTTAGAATATTATTATTTGTTTTTTAGAGTTTTATTATTTTATTATGTATTATTATAATTTTGGGCTCTATTGTTATGATCTAAGTGCAAATTCTAAAAAATTGGAAAAAACTGAACTTTTCACTACAGCGTACAACCAGTTCCATCTATACGCGGAACAAGAACAAACCTCCTCCACTCAGCCTCTTTACTTTCTCTTTACTTTACTTTTACTCTTTATTTTACTTATTTACTTTCGTGGAGTAAGGAAACGGTAGAAACTCCACTGAAGACATCCATTAGCCTTCATATTTAATTTCATATTTGCTTCAAAACTATTAAAAAAATTTATTTTAATTTCCAGCAAATTAATTAATTAACAATAATAACAAAGTGCACTAAAAAAAAAAAACAATCCAAACACACATTCTATTCTTATGCCCTAAATTGTGATGCATATGTCTCCAAAACCAGACAGGTGGGCAAACTATGCAGTCTATTTTAGTTTCCCAAAATAGTAACATGCAAACAATGCGCCTTAACACACAACTTTACAACAAAAACATACTTTTTTAGATTTGCTATTTAAACAGCGTGGCACAAAATGTTAAAATTATAGTTGCGTTGGTTTGAAAATAGTAACAAATTGTGCCATACATGTCTTGCTTCTTATTGCATCTGGTGTATGATAGAGTCCTTAGTGTAAATATTGAAGGCAAATATCTATTAAATACAAATAAAAAATATATAAAGTAATCTTATAAAGTATCTGTGTTTGCAGCTATAACATATAGATAAACAAAAAAACAAACCAAAATAAAATAATATATAAAAAAATAAATAGAAAGAAAGAAACAAAAGAAAGAAAGAACGAAAGAAAGAAAGAAAGAAAGAAAGAAAGAAAGAAAGAAAGAAAGAAAGAAAGAAAGAAAGAAAGAAAGAAAAGTTTATCTAGATTTATTAGCTACAATTGGTCAGAATAACACATATTTTCATCTGTTGCAATTAAAAATAGGGTAATTTCACCAAATAATCATTGTTGTCTAAAAAAGAATAAAAACATGGCACCTTTAAAAAAAATAACTTTATTTAGCTAAATTACAACATTTGCATTTTATACTTGATTTCCAAAATCAGCTAAGTGAATGTTTATTTAGTGTGTTATTGAGTGCTGAATCTTCATTTGTACACATTTTTTCATCAAGCTCTGATAAATTATTAATAACTCATTAATTTACAAATTTATTTTTAATTAAAACAACCCAACTGACATCACAAAATATGGCAGAAACATTTAAAGTGCTAAATCTGTCTGGATGTTTTAATCATGCATAAAGTGAATGATGCTTCACACATAATCAAAAACTTAAATAAATGATTGAACATAACATAGTGCGGTTTCCAAACAGCAGGCTGACCAAGAAAACAATAAACAAGAAAAAAAAAAATCTATTCTGTTTGGCCTTTCCTGCTGTGAATTTTACATAGAACCTTAAGGACTATAATCCTTCATTCTCTGGCAGCCTGATATGGGTGGCCGAAGCCAGAGGGAAGAATATGATGAAAGATGCGGCTTTCTGAAGCCTCATTTGACAGGACAGGATTTCCCCTTTTTCTTTCTCATTAACACAAGCATGAAAAGTGACCCCCTGCAGTATTTAGGGTATTTTGTACAGAATACTCGTATTTGCGTAGCTCCAGAAAGAAGTCTGATTGGTCAGCTAATAAATCCTGACAGAGGCAACAAGCATCCAGAAAGCCTTGACAATTATTTTGTTAATAACCTCTCCGTTTTCTGCCTCTTCACCATCCACTTAATCTGCCAGGAGATAATATGTACCACTTGACCAAACGCACATAATAAAAGCACACCAAAATTGAAGATAGACACGGTGCAGTTTGATCTGAAATCCAGACAGCTTTTTGAAAAAATAAATAAATAAAGGCTGCTGTATAGTAAATTGTAGCTTTAAATGCTGTCAAGTGAAGCCATAACCCAAATTATACAAGAAATGATTTCAGAAATGCTGCATGGCCTTGTTGGGATCACGATAAGCAGAAAAACCAAGTGAAGTGCTACTATTGTGGAATCAGCAATAGAAGAAGTGGAATTACTTAAATAAGGTCAAGGGCGAGATTAAGAGGCTTATTTAATCAAGACAAACATTTATAAGCTGTAGGACTAAGAAAGTTGTCAAAGCTTTATCAACACTTTGTGGAGATTACTATTTGTTTATGTAATTATTGATATTTTGTGAAAAAATAAAATGTGTTTGTAAATGTGCATCCAGTCAGAATTTTTGTCCCCCCCCCCCTGAATTATTAGCCCCCGTTTATTTTTTCCCCAGTTTCTGTGTAACGAAGAGAAGATTTTTTTCAACACATTTCTAAACATAACAGTTTCAAAAACTTCTTTCTAATAACTGATTTATTTTATCTTTGCCATGATGACAGCAAATAATATTTCATTGGATATTTTTTTTAAAGTGACATTTAAAGGCTTAATTAGGTTAACTAGGCAGATTATGATAATTTGGCAAGTTATTGTATAATGATGGTTTGCTATTTAGACTTTAAAAAAAGATATAGCTTAGACATGTAGACACCTGTAGACATGTTAATTTTATTGTCAATATAACTGTATTCATTTAAAAGACTTAAACAATTATCTAATGGAAGGAACATGATTTTTAAGAAACAGTGGGAGTAAACAATCCAAGCCAACAAAACACAACACCAAGCTTTGCCCTGCATGAATCTGAGTTGAGGGAGGATATGATAAACATAAAGACATGTATAAAGAAGTTATATATAGTAATGTCCAGATCTGATCTTGAAATCAGGCCCGATCATGCAGTTTCAGACGAAATCGGAATAACCGTACGTTCACACCGAAAGCGGCGAGAGCGTCCAAGGTCGCTCTGGCCGCCCTGGCGACAACGCTCTCTGCCTTCAGCTCCGGCGGCGAGAGTGTCAAAACTCGCTACATTGATCTCATATTTAAAGGAGCCGTTGCAGCATATCAGTTACATTCCTGCATAAAACATGTTTCTAGCGTAAAATGTTGCGCACTTCTTATCAAATTCATACAACAATGGAAGATCAAGTTGCGTGTGGTGTGGCTTTGCTCTATTTATCCAATATGTGTCCATATGTCTGAAATATCCTGAAGCAGCAGTACTGTTTTCTACTGTCACATCGAGTGAGACTCCCTCTTTTTTAAGATAAATTTGTATAACATTAATGCACATCACTAACTCGCCAGTAACTTATTTAATGTATGTTCCTGTAGGAAAAAATTGTAAATAATTGGAAATCCGGCGACCGCAATAATCAAACCCTTGGGAACAACTATGGTCGAAACCAAAGTTCACAGCTCTGTGTTCTCTGAACTGCTATCAAGCGATGGACGTCTTCATTCTAATTGCTTGCCGCCGACGCTCACGCCCGAAGACGCGCCGCCCTGCTCCTCGCCGCTTATCGCCGACTATCGCCGCCGGCTCTCATTGAAAATTAATGACTTCCGGCTACTTTGACGCTCTCGCCGCTTTCGGTGTGAACGTACGGTAAGATGTTACCTCCTGATCAGAACTTGAAAATATATGTATGTATTATGCGGTGGCACAGAGTTCTTGACCTCACACAGAAACAGCAATCCATGCGCATGACATCACTTTGTTGCAGAGACGCTATTGGTTAAATGCAAACAAAGTAGAACATGAAAGCAGCTTGAAACAGAATGCACGAGTATGTCTGCAGTCTAGAGGTATTATAAAGTTGATGACGACAACATTGCTAAAGGTAACTGTGAAATATGTACACTTGGGATTGCCTGACTGGTATTTTAAGTTGAGGTGCTGTTTGTTTTTATGTTTACTGAAATTTATATATTTACTGTTGCACTAAAGTCCAAAAACAAAGAATTGATGTTATTTATTACTTGATTGTTCAAGCTACCTTACAAAAGTGCTCTGTATGATAACAGAGTTGTTGAATGTTAAATTAAGGTGAAATAAATAGAAAATAAGGAAAATCCTGGATCCGTTTCTTCGCTCTTCTTTATTCCTTTTTTATGAAGTATCGGATTGGGTTTCGATATTGGTAGATACTCAAAATCAAATGCCTCTGACTCTAGGGCAAAAAAAACTGATCGGGACATCCCTAGTTACAATGCTTTATTATTTATAGGTTTTATCGCTCATGCTAGTTTCCAGCATCAAATAGCTTCAAATAAACCACTGCTCCAAAACAACAGTTTAAAGATTTTGAAATGTTAAGACAACCGTCAGACACAAATATGTGCATCTTTTAGATAAATGGAAAGATTCTTCCACTGAATATTTTGATATACTTGGGTGTAAGTGTCTTCTCAAAAGACTGCAGGCTGCGGTAGTCACTGTATATATAAAGTGTGATTAATCATTCTTACCAGTGAGGTATTCTGGATCAGGCACTGGGTCAGACAGTTCCTCATGACACTGGGCTTCATTCGGCACTGACGCCACCACCATGCCATCCGGGAGCTGCTGCTCAATGCCACGAGCAAAGTTTTTCTGCCTAAATAGCAGGAGAAAAAGAGGACAATGCACTCAAAACATAGTTAACTGTTCATGAATCTGTTCAAAACAGTGTCAGTTTATGGAATAAAATAAAAGCAGAATCTACAGGGTAACATTTGGAAAAAAAAGAAGTATTCATGACAAACGTGTGTTATTATTGCTTGCATATCTTCAGCAGGTCTAGAGACTCTTAATTTGAAGTACATTTGCTTATATAGTTTCACGTTTATGTTAGTTTATGTTGGTTATTCATATCCCCTGCTTTCTTTTTATTGTTACTAATTGAGTTCACCTGTGTCTTGTTTAGTTCCCTGTTATTCATGTATATGGTGATTAATGTTTGCATTATTACTTATTTGTCAATCCAAACATTTACATGGACATCAGTTATCAAATTATTTGCCTTAATTTGAACAAGAAAATAATATGATTAAGGTGTTTACTTTTTGAATGCTCCTTTCATGATCTCGTTTTACATGATATAGCACACAATTCGATTAATGTCATTAGCCACTTTCACACATACAGACTTTTCCGGAAAATTACCAGCAATTTTCTGAAAAGGTCTGTATGTGTGAACAGGCAAATTCAATCCGGCTATTTTCTGGAAAGAGAAGTTGAAACATTACCGGTAATTTGCCGGAATGCTGCGCTGTGTGACCGCAGAAGGAAGATTACCTGAAAGAGCGCGTTCACGTCTAGAATGTGCTGTCGTAAGACATCTACTTTAGCCAATCAGAACACTCAGACACATTCACGTCCGTGTGAATGTTTTCCCAGACACATTTAGTTGCTAGATGTTAGTCAGATAACATTCCTATGTTCCTTTTTAATGCCAACTGTGTGAATAATTATCGATGAAATGCTTATGATAAGCCGTTGCTTGTTTACCTTCAAGCTCTGACTCGTGTGCACTAAAAGCAGCTGGTGAGCGCCAGCACACACACACATATTATGAACATCTCGACATGCGAAAGTTGTTAACAATACTGATCCATCCACAGAGGTTGTTATGTAGTCAAATGTTAACAAATACAAGCGCAGCGGTTTAGAGGTCATTTCTGGTTAATGATGTCAGAATTTACTGGTATATTGCAATGGAGTTGTGAATGGTCTTTTCCCGAAAAATTCTGTAACATTCTTGCCTGTTTTAACAGCGCTTTTTTGAAATTACTGGTAAAGTCGTTCCAGAAATTTTCAGCATATTTGTCTTTATCACTGTGTGAAAGGGGCTACATCGTCACCGTGCTATCTACGTTTCCTCCAGAGTTTCATGTTGTTTCGGGTGTTTAATTCTTATTTTGTCGACTTTGCTTAACTGCAGTTTGGCACTTTCACTTTCATTCAAGAACATTTCATGCATGCCCCCCTTGACAAACAAGATATTGGATGCAACTATGAGCTGTTGGAATGGTGTAGTTTTAATGGAGTTTGATATAGCCCTCCATATAAGAAAAAAAAAAATACTCTGCATTTTGCAATGCAGGTGTCTGTGGTCCTTTACTGACTCAGTAGGTGCAGAGAATAGTGTCAAACTGCCGTGTGTATTGAATATCCTGTCACAACAGGATAATAACAGTAATAGATTGATTAAGGTGCTTACATATCTGTACTGCACTTCAATAATGTGACTAAAATCGGCATAGTCCACACGTCTGAATTCGATTTCAGTTTAGTTCGATTATGACTTTAGTGGGATTAAGGAAATCAAAAATTACTGTTTATATGGTAGAGTATTGTTTTAATCATATTACAACTGGATTATTGGTGTCCATGTGAACATACTCATTGCCTCTTGCTTATGCCACAGCCTTAACTTATGTTTTGTTTGTCAAAAAACTGTATGAGAAAACTACATCTACTTTTCTTGCCTGCAACACTGTAAAAAAAATCATATAATAACTGTTTTACAAAGTTATCTAATGTCGTTATTTAGCATTATTGTTCAAATTGTTATTAATTTAGCACTCAATTTTGGGGATTTACACCTACCTAACTTTAAATAGTAACAGTTCCTGACTCCAGTAAGCTACAAACAAAAGTTCTGAATCATTGGAAAGAAGACACTTTGAGCTTTACTGTGGTAAAAGTAAGTTATATGTTACTTTTAAATGTTAAAAGTAAGTTATATGTTAAAAAACATAAAAAGTTATACATTATGAAGTCATGATTTTAATTTTTGTTGTGTTCAATATTTGTTTTTCCATATACAAACACACAAAAACATTAATGTTATGTAAATGTTAGTTTAAAATATGCCATGAAAGCCAAGTGTTTTCTTGGTTTTTATTTTAAATTTGATGAGGATAGCATGAAAATGAGATTTCTGTAAAAAGTTTGCCGAGACCATATCGATGTCCTTCTCTCCCTCATCGTCAAAGGCATTTTCTCAAAAATGACCTTCCCAAACTAAAACATTAACAGTTTCTGAATGATTTGGTCTACATTCACAGTTCATGTATCTTTGGAAAGGGGACACTCTGGGCTTTATTATTCAGAGTATGCTCAAAATGAAAAAAAAAAAAAAGTTATAGATGCTTAAGTACCAATAACACCACCTAACAATTAGAAGTTTTTTTAAAATAGTAGCAAACTGTCTATGGCTAAATAAAACATAGTATGTTACATATACTGTACATAAAAGAATGAACAAACAAAAATAAAATGTGGATTGAGAAATGTTGTCAGACTGAATAAACATAAATTTGAACAAGAGTGAATAGAGTGCAAGTGAACAGCATAAAGTTGAAATGGTGTTTTTTTTTTTTTTTTTCTTCAATTAACTGACATACATAATGTTGGGAAAAGATGAAAGAAGCTCAAAGAGAAGAAAAAAAAAAGTAGACTGAAGGAGGTAGTGCAAAAAGCAATGTCTATATCTAAATGAGATCTGCTGAAGTACTCCAGACTTGAGGAAAGAGTAAGAAAATATAGTTTGATTTTAAACAAGTAAATATAGATAAAAAGTGAGAAGACTGGACAAACTAGATATAGTATAGTTCTAGAGCAATACGAACAAATAATAAGTATGCATTGAACAGAAGGACTGATAAGAGGGGATAAACTGATCCAATTGCAAAAGATGCACGGATGCACAGAATATGCATTTATAGAGGATCTGACTGAATGTTTTTTAGGTCTATCTTCCTTTAGATCAAGGTAAAAAAAAAAAAAAAAAAATGAGAGAATACATGTTTGGCAACCGAACAAAAAAGTATGCCAAAATAAATTCTGAATATGAAGATAATGTAGACCAAACTCTTTCCTGTTCAAATCAAATAAGCACACAGGAAGTGCACAAGGGAAATACACAGAATGCAATGACATTCTGAAACGTGTCCTGTAAATGAGCAAGTGTTCAGGAAATTGTAACAGGCAGCATCCATCCAATCTGAATCTCTCTTCAAGCCTTACTGTCAAAGCCAATTTAAAAGTGGACTTGGATGAGAGAATTTCATAATCTAATACACAGAGCAATGTATAAATAATTGGGCTTAAATAGGAAAACAAAGATATGAAGAATGAATGAAAGATGAAATGAAATGAAAAATGGCTAAAAGTGAAACGACAAACCCTCTACATGTGGAGACTACACCATCTCTGTTTCAGTGGGATGCAAAATGTAATGTTTTAAATGATTTCCTATGCTAAATAATAGAAATTTCCAGTAACAATTTAGTTTAGGTTATAATTCAAGCTATTAATTACTGGCTTATTGTATGTATTTATTAAGATATTAACTGGTTATTGGTTTTAAGTATGATCCAATTTCTGCATACCTAATTCTACCCAAAACCTAAACCTAACCCAAGTAGTGTTAGTTAATAGTTTGTTAATACCGTTAGTTGTGACCAAAATAAAGTGTTACCCAATTTCCTCTAATATATCTAACCCAGAACATTGTACATCAGATTTTACTGATGTATATTAAACTGAAGGGTTTTCTAGGCCAAATTAAATCTGGCATAAACCTCAAAACTGTTTCCTACAAGGTCCTCTTGGGTGTTCTGCAAAGCACACCAGAGCACTTTCTTCAGGAATTTCTCTGAACGTCTGGGATTTCCTCCCCACATCTAATAAAAATGTAAAAAAGTTGTTTCTCTTGTCAAACTTGAAGCTCACGCTTCAATAGATATACGCATATTGAAATATTAATAGCTCTGCATTATTGCTTGTCAAAGTCAAATCTGATAGAATGGTTCATTTCCCCATACAATCTGTGCTGCTAATAGAAATGTGCAAAAAACTGAGAGGTCAGTAATTTTAATATTAACGCATGAAATTCTGAAATAATATCAGGAACAATTATAACTATCACCACGACATAAAATACAAATGTGAATAAAACTTTAGTTCACTGCCACAAAATGTTATGAACAAACCGATGTATGGAGTCAATCCAGGGCCATAAATACTTGCAAAATAAAAGAAAGTTTTGCAATGGGAAAATTAAGCTTTGAGAAATAAAAATGAAATTTGCAAACAAAAAAGAACTGCAAATAAAAATCAAGCAGTGCAAAAAAAATTCATAAAATAAAATATTTGCAATAAAAAACTATATACAGTGTTTATATCATACTATATACCCTGTTTATTTCCCCCCCAATTTCTGTTGAATGGAGATAAGATTTCTTCAACACATTTCAAAACATAATAGTTTTAGTAACTCATTTCTAATAACTGATTTATTTTATATATGACAGTAAATAATATTTTACTAAATAGTTTTCAAAACACTTCTATACATCTTAAAGTGACATTTAAAGGCTTAACTAGGTTAATTAGGTTAACTAGGCAGATTAGGGTAATTAGGCAAGTTATTGTATATCAATGGTTTATTCCGTAGTTTATTGGGAAAAAAAATATAGCAGGGGCTAATAATTTGGCCTTAAAATCTATTTTTAAAAATTAAAAACTGCTTTTATTCAAGCTGAAATAAAACAAATAAGACTTTTTCCAGAAGAAAAAAAATATTATCAGACATAGTGTGAAAATGTC